TTTTTAAATTCGACCAGGTTCATGTTTTACCGAGGGAGATTATGGGGAAATCAACATTTGGAATCTCAGTGATGATGATGAAGTGGCTACCTCTATGGCTCGTAGACAAGCTTCTGCTAATCTTATCGTGGCTTGTTCTAGGGAGCTTATCAAAGTATGGGCTCAAGAGGCCCGACATCGGCCCGATGGAGCTCAAAAGCATGACAGGGAAGACCCCGGTTCTTGACATCGGTGCTCTGGAGAAGATAAAATCCGGCGACGTAGAAATTGTACCTGCAATCAAACAGTTCTCGCGTCACCACGTGGAGCTAGTAGATGGTCAGAAGCTAGGTATCGACGCCGTGGTTCTCGCCACCGGCTATCGTAGCAATGTCCCTTCTTGGCTTCAAGAAAGTGAATTCTTTTCGAAAAACGGGTTTCCGAAATCGCCGTTTCCAAACGCGTGGAAAGGGAAATCGGGATTATACGCGGCCGGATTCACGAGAAAAGGATTGGCTGGGGCATCAGTAGACGCCGTTAACATCGCTCAAGACATTGGAAATGTATGGAGAGAAGAGACCAAACGACAGAAGATGAGAAGAAATGTGGGTCACCGAAGATGCATCTCAGTTGCTTAAGCCTCAAGTTAGGGGTTTTCAATAGGATATATATTAATAAATCGATTTATTTGTAAAAAATATACAAAAGGAAAAAATGTAAAATAGAGTAAAGAGAGCCCTCTCCTGAAGTCCCTGACTGTTTTTTTTAATTACACAGCTGTAGGGGCGTTTTGTATAATTAGGATGACGTGGCTCTCTTGTTTTTTTTTTTAATACTAAATACGCTTATATAATTCCTTTTTGGAGGTAGATTAAATTTGTGTTTGTCTCATTGGGCATTGAAACAAATACAAGAGGCAGAGAAGTTGGAAGAAACTTGTAAACGGGCTTAGCTCGTTATAAATTGGCCCAATACACAGAGGCCCAGATTCGTTGATGGAATGTAGTAGGAATAGGATGTTGAAGGAGGCAGCTTCGTCTGTTTTAAGACCGACTCGACCTATTTAGATCATCTTCAATGTCCAACTCTATTTTTTCCTTTATTTTAGAGTTGACTTTATTTTAGAGACATTTTGCTCCAATGTATATCTCTAAAATAGAGTAAAATATAGAGTAGTCTTCTTTTTTACTCTATATATAAAGTAATCTCTACACTTTTCTTCTATTTTAAAACTAACTCTATTTTAAAGGCATACAATGGAGCAAAATCAACTATACTTCCTCTAAAATAGAGGAAAAAATGAAGTTGGGCATTGGAGATGCTCTTAATACATGACCCAGTCGAGTAAAAATTTTGATTCAAAGATAGCCTTCTGATTCGAAAGTTGAGAGTTTTTTTTTTTTTTTTTTAATCAGTAGATAAGAAACAACAAAAAAGGTGGATTTTATAAGTAGCACACTCACAAGAACTCTTTTTCTCTTTTCAGTCTTGATCAAAAACTGCATATAGAAAATCATACTGCAACAAAACAATACCCTATGAGCTTTTTGATATCTCCTTGAAAATGCGAGGGAGAATCTCATGTGCGTTGATATCCAGAGCTTGTGGTTCCCTGAAATCAAAACCCCAACTCTTTAAACTCTCGAGTTAGATACAAAAGTTTGTGTGAAGTCATAGGTACTTCATCAAATTCTTAAAGCTCCTTGCAAAACCAAGAAGAATAAGTGTTAGAGAAAGAACCTGCACAAAGTTTGTCCCTTTTCTTTCGAGCTAGGGATGAACCAAACTTTTCGAAGAGAGGGAGACTCAAATTGAACAAAGATTCCATCATTTTGTCCGAGTTTCCATTTCCTTGAGCCTTGACCTTTCCACACCTGTGAGACATCGTTTGACCGTCAGTCCATATATACAAACCAGAAAGATCGACTCTTTATTAGCAAGCAAAAAAAAGACAGATTTGATATACCTGTGGGTAGGATATACTACTCTTTGGTGTTACTAAGCAAGCAGCCTTGGAAAATGACTCTTCTGCGTATTGCCTCAGATACGTAAAGCAGTTACTGTGCGTGTCCGGTGACTGAAAAGCCTGAAGTAGGGAAACAAATAGTTTTATCAGACAAAAAGTATATTTATTATAAGATTCAAGTTGGATGCCCTTAATACCTTATCGATGTTGACAGCTGGTGCGTACTTATCGGTTTGTGTTTTCTCTTTGTCAAGAAGGAAATAGACTCTAGTATCGACTTTAGATGTCTCGTGCCACGACTTCACAGCTGTCTCCATAGTCGCAACAATAAAAGAAAACATCTCTTTCCAACACTCTTCAGTTCCATAGTTTTCAGACTGCAAGTATTGGTTCATATGGAGACAATTAATTTCAGAATCTGAGTTGGAACAATCAAATATAAGCAACGAGAAAGGCTTATACTGATTCTCTGGAATTTCACTTGGAGAAAAAAAAAACAGGACTAACCATTTCAGATTTAAAACTTTCAAGATGCTTGGCCATGTCAACATTAGATCTCAAATTCTCGAGTTCTTGAGCTCTCTGTTTCTCCTTCTGCAACATACCGAGCCTCTTGATCTTTCTAGAAACTTCTGCGCTCTGTGGGTTGTACTGCAGAGCCATTTCAAATGCAGCCAAAGCCTGACACAATCATCACAATTTTAACTACTATGGTAAAGCTTTGTGATAAAAATATAGATGGAACCGAAATAAGATATAGATATATACATACATCTTCGTATTTTTCCATGGCTTCAAGCACACAACCTTTCCTGAAGTACCCCTGAAGAAGATAGATCAGAAAAGCCATTGTTTACATAAAGATGCTGATATGAAACCGAAAAGAAGAAAAAAACATTGTCATGTTTTGATTTTACCTTCTCCCATTGAGGGTTGAGTTTGATGGTAGTCTCAGCATCAGCTAAGGCTTTGCTAAGCTTAACTAGACTCAAAAATGCAGCAGCTCGGTTACTGCACCGGATAAACAAAAAAAACCTTTATTACACCTACTAACATTGACACATACATTGTTCCAATTCACAGAACCTTAAAACCAAAAGCCTCAACTTTTAGTATCCTAAATCACAATTGATCTTCTCAAATATAACCAAAATGTTGTAATGCTACTATCAAGGACAAAGCAATTCGGGTTAAAAGCCTAATTTTTCCACCTTAAAAAATCTCATCCTAGAAAAAACCAGATCTTTCTGAAAGAAACCCAACAATCAGATTTGGAGCAATCTCGGATAATACTTAAACTATCATTTTTGATCGAAACCCAATAGGAATCGTAAGATTGCAAATTGTAGTAAAAGAAAACCTGTAAAGAGTAGCGTTAGAAGGATCGAGCTTGATGGCTTGAGTATAGAGAGCTGCGGCTTTAAGGAAGTTGCCAGCTTTGAAGAACTCGTTGCCTTTGTCTTTGAGAGATTTCTCCGCTTCTCCACCATTCGTTGCCTTGCCTGCTTTCTCCGCCATCATTTCTCGAGTTTTGTAAGAAAGCCAAAGAACATGAATATCCAAGTGTGATTTGCTTTTCTATTTTAGGGTTTATAGAGGGACAAGAGAGACTTGTCTTCTGTTCTGTTCCTCCTTTTGGTATTTACTTTTTCTTCATCATTTGAGTCCTCCTTATGCATCAATTTTTAAACACAACTAAAAATGGGTTTAGATTTTTTCCTAGATCATATTTTGAATAACTGAAAAGCCCAATAACAGTAAATCATTAATGAGTTCTAGGAGCAATGAAAAGCCCAATAAAATAAATGGGCCTCAAATTTGTCAATAAAAAGACTCGACCACATTCCACTTCACCGACAACCGACGACGACGGTTCAAACTTCAAAGACGGTAGCTATCATTTCGTTTGAATTATCCCAAACCCATTTTTATTATATCTCTGTTCTTTTTCCACCTAGACTAGTAAAATAATAATTCCTTTTTTTTTGGGACTAAATAGTTCCTTTCTCTATTAAAATAATGAGGTAGGATTGTAGGCAGCCCCGGCTCAGATGGGTAGGGCGGAAGTGCGACGGCCCGGAGCTTTTTTTGTATAAAAAAATTTTACATATAAAAAAGTCTAAATATTTTTTTAAAATATTATTAATATGAGAATTATATTTTAAGAGGCCTAATTATTTATAAGAAAATGTATAAAAAGGCCCAAAATTTTTAAAATAACAATTTTTACTATAAAAACTCCGCAAAATTTTTAAAAATTAAGTAAATTTTCTTATATAATAATAGGCCAAAAAAATTTTTTTTGCCCTAAGGCTCTCAAATATATTGAGCCGGGGCTGATTGTAGGAATAATAATGGTAAAATGAAGAATGTATATAAAAGAGGTGGAATAACCACAAATCATAGGCTTGAATAATAGTAATGAATTCATAGGCTTGAAATGAAGAATGTAATGAATTCATAGTAATGAATTCATAGGCTTGAAATGAAGAATGTATATAAAAGAGGTGGAATAACCACAAATCAAATCTTACTTACCGTGTACTTTACGATTTATTTTTGCATTGGTTGTTTTGACCGAAATAATAATAAACTATTAACTTTGAAAAAAAAAAGTAAAGCAAATGTTGTTAAAAAAAAAAAACTGAATAGAACAAGTCATGTTTTAACTTTAAAAGAAATCAAGATTTGGTTTGAGGTTAATCTATATAGAAAATATATAAAGATCTTGCAAAAGAGAAAACGTATGAACCCATAAAGTATTTGAATCATATTAATGAGAGTTTGGTGGGAATTAATTTGGTAGCCGTAGCCTGTAGTTTTCAAAATTAGAAAACACTTATTAAACTTCATTTTTTTTAATTAGAAGTGTTGATGGAATAATTAAAAATTAAACTGTCTCATTTAGTTGCCAAACTATTTGTATACAAAAAAAAAAAAAAAAAATTCTGGAAATAAAAATTAAGCAGGAAAAATAGTTTTCCAACATTAAAAGTAGATTATATAAATAATAAAAAAAAATAATAAAAATAACGCGTCCTCTTTTTTTGCTCTAAAGTCTAAACCCTTGGTATCGAAGCATTTGTTTTATCAGTTTGAATCTTCAATTTAATCTCAGATTTAGATCCAAAATTCAGAGCAAGATCTTTGCATTGTTCATCTCTTACTTTGTAATGCTGTTGTTCTTTATCGGAACCAACTCGGTGGACGCGATCGATTGACTCGTTCTCTTTTTGGATCCTTGTTGACTCGGCGAGCTTGGCTTAGGAGACATGGGTGGTGTGCCTTCAACGCCGCGAAACACCGGTGGTGATGATGTCTCGGTGGCGGAGTACCTCATTGCGACTTTTGTTGGGGAGAAATCGTTTCCTTTGGCGTCTGATTTCTGGAACAAGCTCCTCGAGCTTCCGTTGAGTTCTCGGTGGCCTAGTGATCGTGTTCAACAAGCCTGTGAACTTTTTGGTTAGTGATTCTCATGCGAAATGTGTTGAAATTATAAGGGATTTGTTGTCGAATCCACTATGAGCTAATGAAATTGACCTAGTGAAAGAAGGGGGATGTTTTGAAGTTTGATGTTATTGTTTTTTTTTGAAATTTTGTTTCAGAACAAAGCAATGGCTACACTAGGCACCTTGCAAAACTATTGATTCATCTATCTTGGTGTTTGCAAGAGCTTCTTCAAGCTTCTGATGATCAGTCTTCTATCTATATGAAAGCTGTTAATGCAACATATATTTCTTCCGTGTTTTTGAAGTATTTGATTGAGAATGGAAAAATTGACAGTCTCCAAGAGTTGCATCTCTCTCTGGACGAAAGTGAACCAGTCCCACATGGCTTTGTAATGGGTAATGACTCTCTAATACTTCTAAGTTTTTTCCAGCGTTAAGGTATTTTTAAGCTGGCTAATTAAGAGTGTTTTAATGGCAGATCAAGACATCCAGAATTTTGTCATGCATAGTGTGCTGAGCTTCATTGGATCAAATGAAGTGAGGTATGCCAATGTTGATTCTGTATATTCCTTTTAAGTTTCAGTATTAGATGTTCCATTCTCCTGATTTTCATCATTTATTTGGCAAGTCCCAACTCGTATGTTCTACATCAGGAACTTCTGAACTTCATGCTTGTTACAATGTCGACACAGCTTCTTTCCGGACCATCACCTGGACCAAGAGATGCGAGCCCTTTTATTGATGCAGCAATGTCTCAGGTAACAAATTTAATTAGTTTTTCTTTGTCTTTTGCATAGATTTTGCCTCATATTAATTTACGCCCTTTCCTTTGGTTCAACAATTTTCAGGAAAAGTCTATAGTCTGTCTCGTAGTCAGAAGATTGCTACTTAATTATATTTCCCGACACCGTACTCCTCCAAATGCAATTTCGTATATGTATTCTGATGGAGATTCACAAGGCATTTTGGGAAGAGTTGGTTCTGCAGCTGGTAGGTGTTCGTATATTAGTTCATATATGATGTATTATTGTACTAACTTGTAAATGTTGATCTTTTTCTATTGCCTTTCCTTTGCATTATGATTTCTTACCTAGCTACCTGAAAACTTTTCTCTTGCATATGCAGCGAGTTTTGTGCTCTTGCCTTTGAACTATCTTGTAAGTAACAGTGGCGGATCTAAAAATCCACTAGCGGAGTGCAGCCTTCATGTTTTACTTATCCTAATTAACTATCACAAGTCTATCATGAGTGATGAGTCTATGACGGATAAAAGTGATGACAGTGCTACTTCGGAATCAGTTTCTAAAGTCCATGTATTTTCCTCTGGCAATACTTTTAGCAAGGCTCTAGCAAATGCTAGAGATGTTGAATGTGAGATATTTTTCTTCATCTTTCTGAATAGGAAATCTGATGTGTATATCTAAACTATTACTCTGATTGCAGTTGACCGCTCAGATGTGGAGGGAAATGCCCACCCTGCTGGTCAACATGTTCGGATACCATTTGCTTCACTATTTGATACTCTCGGCATGTAAGTTATATTTTCTTGAGCTTTTTCTCTACAGTAATTTGTGTTTTTTTTTGGTAGAGATGCATCCTGTATCAAATTCTTAATTCAATAAGTTCTATGCTACTGTGTAATAACGCAATCTGGCAATGTAGGTGTTTAGATGATGAGGGCGCTGTCTTGCTCCTCTACTCATTGTTGCAAGGGAATTCCGACTTTAAGGAGTATGTGTTGGTGCGAACTGATTTGGATACTTTGGTATGATTCATAAACTGCCACTCAATAAGTTCCATGGGTCTGTTTCATTCTTTTGTTCCATTGTCCTCAAAAGTAGAAATTCCATTCCTCAGTTTTACTAACCTTGGACTGTTAATTCGTTGAGGTCAAGTCCTTATAGTTTCATATTAATGATCTATGCTTTAATACTTTTTGATGGACAGTTGATGCCCATTCTGGAAACGCTGTATAACGCTTCAAAGAGAACATCATCTAATCAAATATACATGATGCTAATTGTACTTCTCATACTTAGTCAGGATTCATCTTTCAATTCAAGCATTCACAAGATGGTATGTCCTAATTCCAATTGTAGGGTTGAAACAATTTACTCAATTTCAATATTTTTTCTGATTACGTGTCATTTGAATAGATACTGCCTAGCGTGCCATGGTACAAGGAGCATCTCCTTCATCAGACGTCTCTTGGTTCCGTAATGGTCATTATTCTCATAAGAACAGTGCAGCATAACCTTTCTAAACTTCGGGTATGGCTTTAGATTCATATCTTAGCAATGAAAATGTTTTTCAGACAAATTCGTTTTAGTTTGACACTTTGGGTAGGTGCAGCTTTATAAGAGTGATGTCAAGTTAAAATCTTAGCCAGATATCAAATTCTTCTGGCAACAGAAAAGATGTGGGAAAGTGAAATTTATGTATCTGTCCGATTAGGCTTGGTGGTGTTGTGCCTTTCTATTAGATAAAAGGCTATTAATTTGGAAAAATAGGATCATGGCCTATATAGAGTAGAATTAACTTTTGTGACAAATTCTGTGTCTTGGGCTGTTACAGGATGTGTATCTGCAGACTACTTGTCTTGCTACGTTGGCTAACATGGCACCTCATGCCCATCATTTAAGTGCATATGCCTCACAGAGGCTTGTCAGCCTTTTCTACATGCTTTCTCGAAAGTATGCAATTAATTCCTCGTCTTTTTATGAATTTGCAGATGGTTCCTATATAACTGAACATGAATTGTTTAACAGGTATAACAAGTTATCGGAGTTGACAGGTGATAAGGTCCAAAGCATCAAAATTAGCTTGTCAGGAGAGGATCTTGACGTTTCAGAAGATTTGGTATGACATAGTTAATTCAAGCACACAATATATTCCATGGCATCGTTGCCATTCCTTGATTGCTGGTACACTTTTTACATGTATCGTATCTTGCCAACTGCAGGCAGCAGAGTTGCAGATCTTTACTGATTTCCTGAGACTTGTCCTAGATATATTAAATGCAATTTTGACATACGCATTGCCGAGAAATCCCGAGGTATCACTTATTTTTCTCGGCAGCATGAATCACATAGATATTTTCCTGCTCTGATTCTGGTTTCTGCAGATTGTCTATGCGATTATGCACCGACAAGAAGTGTTCCAACCTTTCAAGAATCATCCGCAGTTCCATGAGCTAGTGGAAAATATATACACTGTATGCTGCATAGGCTTTACTCGTTTGATCTTTGTAGCTATGATTTCCTCTTAAAACTCAGAAAGAACAGAGTTTCTGATTGACCTATTTGTTTCTCACTTGCCTAATTGATCTATTTAGGTCTTAGACTTTTTCAATAGCCGCATGGACTCTCAAAGATCGGATCGAGAATGGTCAGTGCAGAAAGTTCTTCAATTCATCATCAACAATTGCCGGTCTTGGCGAGGTGAAGGCATGAAGGTAACCAACCTCTACACTTATCCATCATTGATAATCATTTTTCGTTCGCTATTTTTCTTAAAAGCTCCCATCTTTCACCCATTATTCTCTTTGATAACGCAGATGTTTACTCAACTTCACTTCTCATACGAGCAAGAAAGCCACCCAGAAGAGTTCTTTATTCCATATGTTTGGCAGCTAGCTTTTTCCCGATGGTAACCACAACAATATAAACAAACTTATCTATTTCCTCTCTACTTGTCATCACGATGTTGTAACAAAGAACACCGCTCGCATTCCTCTCTCACCTTTCTTTGTGTTCGCAGTGGATTCAGTTTTAATCCAGACGCCATCAACTTATTCCCAGTGCCACACCCAGCTGGAGTAAGTACCTCATTCCATCCAGAAGTTAACATCTATAAAGAAACTCCAATTGCAATTTCATCACGATGTTATCGATTCACTTAGAAAAAAATACATTAGAATTATACACAAAGGGAAAAGAAAACAATCACTAGGATCCATTCCTTGTAAGTTTGTGAATTGGCACTTGAATTGATCTTTCCAACGGAATATGTGCAGAAAGAGATAGAAGACGGAAGAGGAGAAGAATCAGAAGGGAAAGAGAAGGTGCAAGAGTTGAAAGGACAGAGAATCGTCTTCGATCCATAAGTATTTTTCGATATAGGAGAGCTTCGATGAGGGCGTATGTATATATTTATACGGTCTAGGGTTCAAATTAATGTCTCCAATAGTATATGTTTTTTAACAATGTAACTTTTCAGTCTATAGATATTCAATCCATTAATAGAGGTACTCTCTCTTGAGCCTCTGGAGTCTTAAACCAAATATTTTACATAACCTCGGAAAAGTTAACCTTGGGGAAAGTTAAAACTTAAAAGACAATCCATGAAACAGGTTGATTTAGTTAGGTTTTATAACTTCAAAAAAAAGTACAAATTACATATATACAAGTAAAAATATAGTACAATCTTAACATCCTTAACCCACAAATAATACCTAAAAAGACTTTCATTTAATCTGAATTTAGAAAATGAAAACACAATTACAGAAAGTTACTATTCTCAAGAATTTCCTTTTTTAACTCTTGCCTTAAGCGCGTGAATGGACTTTAGATACATACCTGTCCGTATTCAATACGATAAAGAAAACAAATGTAGTTTTATTTACAAATTTCAGATACGTTTGTCATATATCACTGTTACGTCTCTTGTCGAGAATCTAGGGTTTCTTTCTCTCTCTCTCTCTTTCCATGATTTGTAGCGCCTCCCTCTCTCCATCTCTCCATAGCTTCTGGGCTCGATTCCTCTTCTCGGGCTTCCTAATTATGTTCAATTAAACTTCGTCTTCTTGCGCTCACCTTACAGATCTTCTCTTTCCTCTGAGATTTCCGCGACTTTAACCTAATTTTTTCACTTTCAAAGCTTTGAATTTTCTCCGAGATCTCTCTGATTCGTTGGGGTACTTCAACGGAAGCTATTGGGTGCGTTGAAATGGAATCGAAGATCAAAAAGCCTGCTAATTTTATCGAAGACGCAGACATTGATGGAGGTGCCGAGAGTGATTCTACCATTAGTAGCGTTATAAGTTTGGAAGATGAGTCGGTGGTTGATGTTTCTGGTCAGAATCTGGAGTTTTCTCTTCTAGATAATGTCGATGATTCGGTTAAAGGTCTCTACTTCTTCAGGAATGTATTCAATTTGCTTCCCAAATCGATTGGAGGGCTTGGGAGATTAAGGAAGCTCAAGTTTTTCAGTAACGAGATCGATTTGTTTCCGCCGGAATTAGGGAATTTGGTGAATTTGGAGTATCTTCAGGTCAAGATATCGTCACCCGGTTTTGGCGATGGCTTGTCGTGGGATAAGCTTAAGGGTTTGAAGGAGCTTGAGCTTACTAAAGTTCCTAAACGATCTTCGGCTTTGACCCTTTTGAGCGAGATTTCTGGGCTCAAGTGTCTGACGAGGCTCTCTGTTTGTCACTTCTCAATTAGGTATAAAGCTTGCTCCTTTATGTTCTTTTGCTTCGGTTGCAGCATTCTTAATGCTTCTTAATACTACGTAGCATTTATCACTCAAGCAGGTGGTGGCTTTTGACAGTTTCGGTTGTGCATCCGTGTAGAATTTCCAGGAAACGTAAGTTAGAAAATTATTGATTGTGATACGTTTGGTGGCTGCTCAATGCGGTGTTGTTAGCATGCTATAGGTGGTTGTTTAGCTTCCTTACTTTTGATGTTTAGTTGGATATCTAGATTGTTATGAAGAAAACTTGTGAAATTGATTGGACTTTGGAATTGAGTTGAGGGTATTCATTGCTTCAAATTACATTGGACTGCATTTAATTCTGTCTCCCACATGTTTGTAGATATCTTCCCGCGGAGATTGGATGTCTTAAGAGTCTGGAGTATCTGGATCTCTCTTTTAACAAGATCAAGAGTTTGCCTAACGAGATAGGTTATCTGAGTTCATTAACGTTCTTGAAGGTTGCTCACAACAGACTGATGGAGCTATCACCGGCTTTAGCTTTATTACAAAACTTAGAAAGCCTGGACGTATCAAACAACCGATTGACAAATCTGCATCCTCTCGATCTAAGCTTGATGCCTCGACTTCAAATTTTAAATTTACGGGTACTTGTTTCTATTATTTTTCATAACATTGCTGTAATATTTGGATATATATTTTATGCTCGGGGAAATAACATGGCATTCTATAGGAGTTGATGGATTCTTAAATCTGACAGAGCTTCTTGGATTTTCTGATTGTTTCAAGTACAATAAGCTCCCGAGTTATTGCTGGATTCCGACATGGATACATTGTAATTTGGAAGGGAACTATGAAGAGATGGGCGTTGATACTTGTAGCAGCTCTATGGTTGAAATGGATGTATTTGAAACCCCATATGAGAACAACACCATAACCGTTCCTCATAAAGGTTAGAGTTTGATGTTTCTTTCCTTTACATCGGTACTGTGTATGCATATAACATTGATAGTTTGATACTTCTTTCTTTATAACTTTTATTTTTCTTATGTATTCTCTGTTTCCACGTGGATGCAGGCTCCCACCGTAACCCATTAAATATGTCAACTGGAATCTCTTCCATCAGTAGATGCTTTTCGGCCCGAAAATCAAGTAAGAGGTGGAAGCGGAGACAACATTACTTCCAGCAAAGGGCAAGGCAAGAACGCTTGAACAACAGCAGGAAATGGAAAGGGGAAGTCCCTCCAGGAGGATTAAGTCTGAAGATGGAAGTCGAAGAAACTGGGAAACAGGGCATGAAAGTTCCTGAGAACACTGACAGAGGTTCAGTTGATAGCACCTACTCGGGTGACAATGATAAACTGTTAGAAGAGGCTTCTGTCATTACTTCTGAAGAGGAAGAGGAAGAGAGCAGTCTTAAAGCTAAGTTTGCTTCTGACAATTCCCGATTCGTGGAAACCCAATTAACGAGTGAAAGGGATAACAATGAAAGTTGTGAGATCAAGGCTTCTTCTCCCTCTTCAGGAGATGCACCTGGTACGGCAGACTATAATTCTTCTTCAGAGAGAAAGAAGCCAAATAACAAGTCGAAGCGATGTAGTGAGAAGTATCTGGATAATCCAAAAGGCTCTAAATGCCATAGACCGTCTACCGATTTTGCTAATTTGTCGCACAAATACAGCAGAAACTCATTTTGCAGCACAGAAGATTCTCTACCTGATGGCTTTTTTGATGCTGGACGTGATAGGCCCTTTATGTCTCTTAGTAAATATGAGGAAATTTTGCCTCTTGATTCACGTGAAGTCATACTCTTGGACAGGTAATTACTATCACTTTTACTTAGATCAACTAGAACGATCATTTATCCATGAGCTAAAGCTCACTTTGCCCTTGTTTTGGTTTTGTGTAAAGGGCAAAGGATGAAGTGTTGGATGCAATCACTCTCTCTGCTCGAACCTTGGTAGCTAGGTTGAAGAAATTGAACTGTTTAACTCCAGATGTAGATCAAGTTTCCATCGACAACTTGCAAGTTGCATCATTTCTTGCCCTTTTTGTATCGGATCACTTTGGGGGGAGTGACAGGACTGCTATTATTGAAAGAACCCGAAAGGCAGTGTCTGGTACAAACTACCAGAAACCCTTTATTTGCACCTGTTTGACTGGGAACCAAGACGACTTGGCTGCTCTCAACAAACAGGTCTCAACAACGGCTGAAGATGTCATTTTGTCTGATGTGTGTGAAAAATCTCTGCGGTCTATTAAGTCCAAGCGGAACTCTATAGTGGTTCCTCTAGGGAAACTGCAATTTGGCATCTGTAGGCACAGGGCCTTGCTCATGAAGGTACTCAATTTAATCTAATGCTATTGGATATCTGACTGTCTGGTTTCATTTTACTTAATTGCTAATTCTTGTTTCTTACATTTTATTTCTAGTACCTTTGTGATCGCATGGAGCCTCCTGTACCCTGTGAACTTGTTAGAGGCTATCTAGATTTCATGCCACATGCCTGGAACATTGTCCCTGTGAAGCAAGGTTCCTCATGGGTTCGTATGGTAGTTGATGCTTGTCGTCCTCATGATATCAGGGAAGATACAGATCAAGAATATTTCTGCAGGTATAACATTTTGCGACTTTTATCTTGTATTTACCACTGTCTACTAGATTCTCTAATCTTGAATCTTTCTTCTTTTGTTGCATAGTGTAATGATATTTTCTTTTTGGGTTAATGATTTGATTAGAGGTTGGGCTACTGATTGTGGAGTTGTATACAAAATAAAAAAACAAATAACGAACTGTGTTTAATTCTCCTTATAATTGTAAACTTTTATCTTATATGACCAATCTCTTGAAAAGTTACTGTTGACTTGAAGATATAGTGTATTGTGTTGAATGACCAATCTCTTTGTTCTATATTCTGATTGCCACAGGTACATTCCCCTTAATCGGCTAAACGAATCCATTCGCACAAAGGAAAATTTGGAACCAGGATGTTCTGTTTCTTCTCTGTTAACGGGCAAAGGAGTTGAAAGAGCTAATAGTAGTCTTATCCGATGCAAGCTTGGCTCAACTGAAGCAGTTGTGAAGGTTTTGTTTTTACCTTTTGTAGTCTCTTATCTGTTTACGGTTGCCTAAATTTACTTAATAGTTTCTTATTTCCTCAGATGCGTACATTAGAGGTTTCTGGAGCTTCCTTAGATGACATTAGGACTTTTGAGTATACTTGCTTAGGAGAAGTGCGGATTTTAGGAGCTTTGAAACATGACTGCATTGTGGAGTTATATGGACATGAGATATCGTCCAAGTGGATAACCTCAGAAAATGGAGATGAACATCGACGCGTATTGCAATCTTCTATTCTGATGGAACACATAAAAGGAGGATCTCTAAAGGTAACATTCTTTTTTTCTCAACCTATATCAAAAGTCTTTGTAACATCAATCAAAATCTTCTAAATGGTTTTATTTTACTCAGGGCCACATTGAGAAGCTCTCGGAAGCTGGTAAGCACCATGTTCCCATGGATCTAGCCTTGTCTATTGCAAGAGATATCTCAGGGGCTTTAATGGAGCTGCACTCGAAGGATATAATTCACCGTGACATAAAAAGCGAAAACGTTTTGATCGATCTGGACAATCAAAGTGCAAATGGAGAAGCCATTGTGAAGCTTTGTGATTTTGATAGAGCTGTTCCACTTAGGTCTCACTTGCACGGGTGCTGTATTGCCCATGTGGGAATACCTCCTCCTAATATCTGTGTCGGTACGCCACGATGGATGTCCCCTGAAGTCTTCAGAGCAATGCATGAACAAAACTTTTACGGACTTGTACGTTCTCCAAAACACTGATTCTCTTGTTCATCAACTTATATCTTTAGTCCTCTTCTCTGTTATGAGTTTGCTTCTGTTTTCGCAGGAAGTGGATATCTGGTCATTTGGTTGCTTAATCTTTGAGTTGTTGACACTACAGAATCCTTATTTTGATTTATCTGAGCTTCAGATTCACGAATCCCTACAGGTTTGTCTCACTTTCACTAACATGATTGAGATTTTCTTAATATTATGATTTTAATAGGTTTGTTGTATCTTACTCTTGACCAGAAGGGCAAAAGACCAAAGCTACCAAAGAAACTAGAGACACTGAGCTCTGAAACAGAGGAAGACGAATCAACAAACAAACTCTGTGAAGAGTTTGACCTAACCGAATCTGACTTAGACACAATGAGATTTCTTATCGACGTGTTTCACCAGTGCACTGAGGAGTCTCCTTCAGACCGTCTAAACGCAGGAGACCTCCATGAAATGATTCTTTCACGGACAAAGAGAGAGTAAATCTCCTTCAGGTACTTGCAGTTCTTCACAAAGCTCAAGCCTTTAAAAGGCTTTGAAGCTTAAAAGAGAGAAGATAGAAAGATTGAGTCTCAGTTTCTTAAGATTAGATTTATGGCCAACAATTTGGGCCTAAAAGCTTCGTAAGCTTATGGAAACCACAGAACGATAGGTGGTAATTTATTTCTTGTAACCTTGTTTGTTTCTTCATTTTGTAACCCCCAAAAGTGTTCTTAGATTGTATCATTTGATTCTGTAGACACCATTGTATCATTCTTCTTCCAACTTTTATTAAAACAAAGAGCATATGAACCATTACATATTTGAAGATTTTCTTGATTCAACTTTTAGTTACGTATTTTTTTAAATGATAAAACTATTGCAATTTGTCTTCTCCTACAATTAAGTCTTTTCTTGTCATGTATTCTATAGACTATAGACAACCTTATTATTATAATCACACAATCAAGATTTGGCGACACTAAGGGTGAGGAAAAATCATAAAAACTGAAGATAAATAAGTAAATAACATTTCAACAAACGAAGGGACAACAACTTTTAAAACTCGCTTCGAGATTCAGTTATCTTTGTACAATAGATCTTTTAGCATGCATAAGTATATGGATAGAAGAAATTGAGATATATATATATATGTGATGTGGATCATATTATACATTAAAAAAAAAAAAAAAAAACGAAAAACACCAACTATCGAGATTCCGACGAAGATGTCACCGGAGATATCCTGGGAACGGGCACCGGAAACTCATGAATCTCATCAATCCATGGATTAGTCTTCTCCTTGGACGGATCAATAGTTCTCAAAGCTCTCCAAACCGCACTATTACACTTAAAACCCGATCCAAAAGCAATCTGCCAAGTCCTGTCTCCTCTCTTAATCCTTCCTTTAGCCTCACTATACGCAAGCTCATACCACAGCGAGCTACTCGAAGTATTCCCAAACCGGTTCAAAGTCATCCGCGAAGGCTCCATATGCCACTCAGAAAGATCCAAATTCTTCTCAATCTCATCGAGCACTGCTCTGCCTCCCGCGTGGATGCAGAAGTGCTCGAATGCTAGCTTGAAATCAGGAATATAAGGTTTGATTTTCTTCACATTAAAGACTTTTCGCGCCACGAGTGTTGCGAAAAACAGAAGTTGTTCGGACATTGGAAGGACTAGCGGTCCGAGAGTGGTTATGTTCGTCTTGAGAGCTTCTCCGGCTATAGCCATTAGGTTTTTGGAAAGTGAGACACCGATTTCTTTGTTGTCGTCGTTGTCTTCGCGTTGGTAAACGCAGTTAAAGGCGTTGTCGTCAGCTCCTTTGTGGGTACGGACGGTGTGGATGAGTTGGTATTTGGAGCGGCGGCGGTCGGAGCAGCGGTTAGAGAGGAGAACAGCTGCGCCACCCATTCTGAAGATACAGTTTGAGAGAAGCATTGATCGGTCGTTGCCTAAATACCAGTTTAGGGTTATGTTTTCTGTGCTCACTACTAGTGCATATGAATTTGGTTGGACCTGCATGTATATTACAATTAAAAAATCAGGACTCTTAACGAATATTTATAAGTATAAAAATATCAAGACACAATATGTATGTAAATCGTTGGATATCGTCTATGTGACTGTGTACGTATGTATATTGTTTTACGTATTTAAAAAAAAATGACAGTTTTGCTATTTTTCATTGTTATAACTGGAATAAAGAAATTTTCACCAAACATATGATATAATTTCCACCAAAAAATCATTTTATATATATGTTTGGTGAAATTTTCTTTTTATAAAGAAACCCGCAGAACACATGCATGGCACCAAACATGAGACCTTACGTGTATTGATTATTAATGAAACTTATACTCCTGAAAAACTTGTTGTTTTTGGTGATATTGTTCAACAACCTGTCTTCGATTAAATATATAACTAAGCAAGCAGCCAAGTATGACACGTCACCTATCAATTTGGTATAAATTGTTAATATATAGGAACTTACGAGAATATTTACCTTAATTACTAGTATTTAGATTGACTAATCCCAACTTTAAATTGATCTTTCATTGTCAAGTTTTTCTCTTCTAATTGTAGCTTTATTTACCAAAAAAAACTATGATGATTTTATTTACACTCGGATAGGATCTTAATTCTTACCAACTACATGTAAATGCAAACCATGACATACCACACTTTAGATTGACCGTAACATATGTGTACCCTAGTGTGTGTAAGTATTATATATACACACGAATAGATTGTATACTAAATATAAACGTATTTGTTATTAAGACAATCTATAGTTTTTCAATCTTCACAACTACCACCTACCTACAAAAGAAGCCTGGCACAACTTCATACACAGTACACGTGCTCATAAAAGAAGCTAGAGCTTTTACCATTTTCATATAAGACCAGTAACCAAAATTTATATAGATAACGACATAACGTGGAGAAAACTAGTAAAGTCCCAACCTCCCCACCCAAATTAAATTAAATTTTCTCTTTATCACGAGATTCTTATTTCTTATATCAGAATGTTCAATTGAAAGCGAATCTTACTTAGTATCAAAAAAGAAAAAGTTGTGAATTTGTAATGAACGGGCTTAATTAATTGAACAAATACTGTAATTACCTGAAGAAGCTGTTTAGCGAGATCAATGGAGATAAGACCAGCACTACAACCCATTCCACCAAGATTATAGCTCAAAATGTTTCCTCTAAGCTTATATTTATTCACGATCATAGCCGATAAGGAAGGCGTCGGATTAAACAAGCTACAATTCACCACAAGTATCCCAATATCCTTAGGCTTCACTCCTGTTTTCTCAAGCACTGCGTCTATTGCTCCAAACATAACCGTCTCGGCTTCTTTCCTTGCTTCAGACATACAAGGATTCGGCGGGACACGTAAGAGAGCCTCCGGGAAGTAAGTCTTTTGTCCAAGACCGGAGCGTTCGAGGATCTTTTGTTGGAAAGCGAGGTTGTCTTCTGTGAAGATACCAACACGTTGAGACCGGTCCATGAACGTTTCTCGTGTGCATATTAGAGAAGAGTCGGGTTTGTAACAAGCGAAATCGAGGAGGAATATCTTGCGAGGACGAGTTGTGAAGTAGAGGGTGGTTAGAAAGATAAGAAGGGCTGCGAATATAGTGGAAGAGAGGAAGTGGAATTTGAGAAGGTGGTTGTATAAGAGTGTGAGATCGGAGAGATTGAAGGAGGAAGAGGTTGCGGCGAGGAGGACAGGGAGGATGAGGATGTAGACGGCATTAGAGATTAGGTAATGGTAACCGAGTTTAACGTATTTAAGGCGTACCGATAAGAGGAAGTTTGGGAGTTTTTTGTTTGTTACATGAATGGTGTTGTTCATGTGATCACTTTGAATGTGATTCTCATTCATAGTAGTCTTTTGGTTTTAAATGATAATCAAAGGTAACGAGACAAATAAAAAAAAAAAAAGGGAGATGAGATTTAGTGCTTAATATAGAGAAAGAGATAACTTATGGCCTAAAAAGCTGGAGTGTTATTGTGAATTTATAGGCAAAGTTTTTAGAAAGAGGAGGCAATTTAAGAAAATGTAGTCCCTATGGTTATTGTTGTGGCGGTGAGCTAACTATGCATTGATTCCGTTTTGACCAAAATCGATCAAACATGTTTTTTTAATATATACTCCATCCATTTGTTTTTGATAAGATGTCTTCTTTAAGAAAAAAAAAAAAAAATGTTTTGATGTACTATTATATTGAAAATGTAAGGATTTAAATTATGTTTCAAATTTATCACTACAATTAATGATTTTTATTCATTTTAGCGTTGATAATAAAACATAAATAATTCAATGATTCTAAAAAATTTCTCAACACATGCACATTCAAATCATTTGAATCAAATGTCGACGGAAAGTAATCCAAATGTCTTGTAGTACGGATAGGTTTTAAACGGCAGGGTCATGTATTCATCTTCCAATAGTGCTCCAAATAGTTTATTAATTTACAAGAAAATAATACTATATATGTTTAAAATTCTCCCAACTGTTAAGGAACAATGAGGAATAAATACCATACGTGTTATTTTATCCTCCAAATTACAGGGAGGATGGATTCATTGAACATAGGTAACAATAAGTCGAGATGCATTGACGTACGTGTCCAATATGATTTAATTGGAACTAAGTCCAATCAATTGTTTGATGGCTCGAGAGTGGCGATTTAATGAAGCTCATTATTTTATATCTTGCCACTGATTACTTCTACTGGAAACAAGGGTTATTCTGGATCCACTTTTACGTGGATCTTGCGGACTAATATTTTTTTTTTCATAAATAATATTTAAATTTATCATTTCTTTATGTTAATGATGTTTCTAGCTACGCGAAGAAGAGAGTTTGTTGAACTACTGCGCAGTAGGAGGAAATATGTGTTATTTTTACGTATAAAATACATTTTTGAAAATGTAAGATTTACGTTTATTAATACGATCTATTCATATTTTGCATGCATAGAAATGGATTTAAGTGTCAATAACATAACAAAGTTTAAAGAAAATGTATAAAGGCGAGGAAACAAAGACGTGAAAGATAAAGCTAATGGAATAAAAACCATGAAGCTCCTTTTCAACCGAAAATGCATTGAATTCAATCAGTTTTTATGCCACAAATCGTTTTCATCATCAACACCGTCACCATTATCGTGCCTGCTATAATCATTATTATCATCAATTTGATTATAATTTTCATTTTCGTTGATTATGATCTTCAGCTTAAGTTATACTTACTGTCACTGATTATTTATTCGGTACAATTTTAGTATAAATTTATTTCAAGATAGTTCAATTTGAGTTTAATTTGTCATTGTGTCCACACTTTTTTTTTTTTTTTTGCTGTCGTCGTAATTGCCCACACATCTTATTATAAATTATAGTTTGCTTGCTTAGTGAGGTTTGGCATAAATATACTAAAGTGTGATATATTGTTGTGAATTGCGTGTCGAAGATTTGTGGAAAGATTGTGTGGTAAGTCACCCAAAATATTAGAATAGTACTTTTTAATTGAACTATAAATGCCGAAGAATTTCTTCTAACCAAACGTTGCTTACTTGGGCAAGAAATAATTCGTGGAAGAACCATCTCTATGCCCACTCTTATTAATTTGTTCATTTTGTTGTTCACGTTCATTCCCTAGTTTGCTCTGATATGTGTGTTTTTTTTTTTGCCATGATAAAATATTCATTAGATTTAATTGTGCTCAATATTTAGAAGTATTTTATTACAAATCGGAATAGCCATCATATGAGCATCCAGCAAAATAGCTAGTTTTAAAGCACCTCCAAAAAAGAAATAAAGAGAGAGAATATTTATGGGTGATTTATGAATATAGCTCTATATACTCCTTTCGATCTTTTATAAGTGATGTTATAGGATAATTCAAATAGATTAAAAAATCATTTAATTTTTGTTTATTTTAAACTAAAATATTATTTATTATCTAATCAACCAATAAAAAAATAATCTACAGAATATAAATCGTCAAAACCAATAAAAATAATTAATTTTGTATTAAAAATTGAAAAACATCATTTATTTAAGAACAATATTAAAAACTTAAAACATCACTTATAACATTTGTTTGTTTTCCATCATTTGCTTTATTATTCTATTATTTTCGCTTATTATATTGTAGCTTACATTGAAGAAATTGTTTGCATCAATCAAAGCTAGCATTTAATTATAACGTAAGATCTTCAACATTCAACTACTCAACCATGAGTAACATTTACAAGTTAGGCAGCAATCATTTATATAGTTGGTAGTTAGGGACAATTTATTAATGATTCGTACTGCCCTGAATTTTTGAACATACAATTTTGTTGGTGCAATTGTAATAACAAGACACTGATTTTTTTAGAACACTTGGATTCATGTACTAGTTATTCCAAAAAAATTGTGTATATTTATGTGTGCAAGTTAATTTATTTATGTTCAGTTTTTTGTTGTTTGATCAAAACTAGTGTCACACTCCGCAAACGCAAACACGGAGCACATAACAATCTACATATTTATAGCAAAAAAAGAGAGACCAATCTCTATATAAACAAGAAAATGTGGTTTCTATCCATTTTTCTATGCTTAAATATTTTCTGTGTATGCACAAAAAAAAAAAACAATCCTAAATTTAAAGATGGGTTGGGTTAATAATATTTTACGTATCCCAAAATTTAAGTATGCAGGATAAAAGTTGGTCTAAGAAAATAATAAATTTACTCGTACAGTAAAACCTCTATAAATTAATAATGTTGGGACTAACAAATTTTACTAATTTAGAGAAGTATTAATTTATCGATAAATTAATAATAATTATTAATTTATAGAGAGATTTTACTAATTTTGTAATTTCTTAAAAACATTTCTATCTAAAAATAATTTTTTTCTTTATAAGAAATATCTTTTAAAAACTAATTACAAGTAGAGAAGCAATTATTATGTCTAAAAAACAATACAAACTTTTTTCGAATAATAGAGTCATATTTTATTAAAAGTTTTACATACAATATTTTAAATATATATCATAGTAATTCAAATATGACATATATAAATTTATATCATATATATATATATATATATTGATAAGTTTATAAAATTATTAATTTATGATATCGATGGGACCATATGTTTATATGATATTTTCAAAAAAATTATTATCTTATTAATTTATCGATTTATGTCATATTTTACACTGGTCTCAACTCGGGACCGGAAGAATTTATTAATTTAGAGAGGTTATTAATTTATAGAGTATTAATTTATAGAGGTTTACACTTGGATAAATTTATAAAAATAATAACTATTGAGATTCGAATAATAACTATAACATATGATAAATTATTGATTTTTCGTCTAGATATTATGCTACCGGTTATTATCATCATGTTTAATAAAAAGACAGTTAAGGCGTTAGGGCTTGAAAGCCCATTAAGCAAAAGAGTCTCGGAGACATATTGGAAACCTGTTTTACAGTTTTTATGAAACGCAGCGTTTTTTACGTTTTGAATAAAACGCAGCGTTTTTAGAAAACATAAAACCTGTATTTGTAGTAATGGTGACTTTGCGATTTTACAAGGTTTGGTCATCACTTGGGCGATGGCGCACGGCGGATATGCGAAGCGGAGAGTTGCAGAGCGGAAGACGACGGCAGGAAGTAGTCGGAGATCGAAAGGATTACGCGTGGAGAAGAAACCGAAGAATTCCTCTCTCAAGAATCAAATTCGTTCCATCGGTCGCATGATTCGTAAAGTAACTACTCTTCTTCTCTTCCTGCCAAATTAGGGTTTATAGTTGCCTTCTCCGGTCTTGTAACTTGACTATTTAGCTAATCGAAGTCGGTCTCAGTGTTTTTTTTCTTTAATCTTTTGAGGAATTTGTTTCTTATGTTAGATTAATGGATAGGATCATGGCCGATTATATTGCTTATGAGATCATGATTTGATTTGGAGAAGAGATGAATTTTGATGAATGAATATGTACAATTACAATTTTCTCTAGGACCTTCCTCCTGAAGTAAGAGAGGCTCTAGAAAAGAAGTTGGATGATCTGAAGAAGCAGCAAGATATCCATATCCGTCTTGCTGTTGAACGTAAAATCTTCCTAAGGAACAGAAAGGTCAGATTCTTTGGTGAGTGCTCTATCTTGATGCATTGGAATGTTTGAGTTGTTTGGCCCTGGATGATTTGGCTTTGTCGGAAGAAATAATTACACATTTTTTTGTTTAGAACGGAGAAAGATCGAAAGGAGTATAAGACGTCTCGAGAAGCTACAACGAAGTACATCTGGTGGTCATGTGCAAGATGCAGAAATTGGTGGGCAACTCAATAAACTCAAAGAAGACCTTGAATATGTTAGGGTAAGCATCTTATTCAATCCAAATCCACTTTCCTGTGTTAGTCGCAAGAATAGACAAGTTGTTCTTTTCACAGTTTCTTCCGAGTGTTATCTGTTCACTGCTAAATTTCCTAGTTATCTAATAGAATGAGTCAGTTGAAATATATGCTATTGATATCTTGCTTTGTGCAATGCAGTTCTTCCCCAAGAATGAGAAGTATGTATCACTATTTAGTGGGGGTGATGATTTACAATTATCTGAGCGGAGAAGTAAATTGCGGAAGCAAATCAAAGCCAATATAATTGTTGCTGCTGCCAGTGGGAAAGAGTTGGAAGGTATTGATGATATGTGGCTCTGTTTATATGGGTCCCTTTTCCCTTAACTTTCTGTATAAAAATGGGGCAGCATGCTTTTTTCGTCGTTACATGCATTCTGACCTTCTGTCTGCTTTTAAAATAAGGAATGCTGATTATGTTGATCATTAATTTTATTTTATTTTTGTGGAAAAACAGAGACAGGGAGCGAAGATGATGCTCTTTTGGACCTGAGTGACGATGACTTCTTTGTCAACGGAAGTTCAAGTGACGAAGCAGATGCGGATGATGAGTGGACTGATAAAAGCACAAAGTAAGCCTTGTAAATGTGGAATAATTTCTTTTAACCTCAATACTTCTAAGTATATTTTATCGACTATGTTAGTGGATAACATGGGAGATGAAGAAGAGTCAACGAGGCTAGTGGTGTATTCACCACTGAATTCCATTAAGCTATCATTCCTGTGCTAGAAGTAGATTGTTGACTCTTTTCTATTGGCTTAACGTATTCCAGTAAAGATCATCTCTGGCTGTTGTCAACGTTTTTTTTTTTCTTCCCAGAGAGCCGGTGTCTAGTGCTTTTGGCAGAGCAACATCGAGCATGTCTAGTGACGAAAGAAATCAGGTACAATGCGAAAGCTACTCACAGTCTTGTTGTTTGCATGATACTGGGGACTCTAATACCCCCAGAAAGTCAGAATCGTAACATGTTCAATTCTGGGGTGATCTAAGTATATGAAACTGAAGTGTTAATATATTACTGAATGTTAGTATTTTGGTAAGTGATTTATTTTCTTATTGTAGAAGCCATACACTACTAGGGTTTTAATGCCACCACCACGGTCAAGGTTTGCATCAACATCTCGTCAGTATTCATCTGTGAAGAGGAATGAGATACCTTCCTCCAGCAACACTTCACATAGAAGAAGCCAGTCTTCACATGCTGCCACAAGTTCGCATACAAGTCAAAGTAGCAACTTGAGTTCTAATTCTGATGCTCACAAACCCAAGAGGAAGAGAAGGCCTAAGAAGAGGAAGCAACAGGTGAGTCCCTCTTGACTCTTTCCTGCAATTCTGTTTCTTATTTTGTGAAAAATCTTGTTGGTACATTTGCATAAATCTTCCAAATTCTGTAACTTAAGAATCTGCATTCCACTTGTGAAGCTGATTATATATTATTCTATTTGCTGTTGCAGGCGTGAACGGGGTCTCTCCCGCCATGTCGGAGAAAGCGAAGAAGCTCGAAACACAGTTCATCAATTCCTGAAGCTTCACCAAGTACTACGGCCTGTCTAGTCTTACATCTTCTGATTGGATCTAATGCGTATATATATGTTTTTTTATGTTGCCATGAAAGCAGAGAGATAGGTTTCTGTTGTTTTTGGCCGATGAAATGAACCCTAAGCTTTGGGCAAAACGTATTTCTCATATAAGTTTTTTTTTTTCATGTTGGCTTTGATCGAATTGAATCAATTAATGGGAGTGATCCAACGTAGACCATCAATAATATGATCTAAGAACTTGTGAACCAAAATAGAAAATGGGTATTGCTTGAAAATCTCTTTGATCAATGAGAACGCAAAACAGGAATTGCTACAAATATAAAAACAACTCTTCAATCTTCATAACACTTTTAATGTAATACACAACCAAAGATTGAGGACAACCTTTTGTCCTGTTTCTGAAACAAAATGTAATTAGGTTCCAGTTTCATATGCTTAAGACCATTAAGCATGTCTACATTTTACCGATGAGGTAAACAAAGGCTATAAATTGGATTTAATCCCACGAACATAGATCTCGCCCGAATACCCGACAACCCGAGTACAGACAGATTTTCTCTGAACCAAAAGAAACTCTGTTTTTCTTCAGGTTCTTTTGTGTCTCTGTTAGGTTTCTTGAAGCTATATCTCATACACCACAGCTTAAACATTTGGCTTCTGATCCTTTCATGATCCTTAGTCTCTTGCAAGTACATATAAACATCCTGCAACAACAAACAGAACCCATAAGAACACTTGCAAGCAAATTGTTGTTTATGATTTTGATGTTTTCGACAGATATATGAAAGAAGACTTACTCCCATGGAACATCTCCAATGAGCATCCAATCACCATCTTTGTCTTCATAAGTAGGCACAAAGTCTGAACCTTTATATCCATCTCTCTCAAAGTACTCTCCCACAGAGAATTTGAACATCACTTCTAAAGCTTTAAGCAACTCTGAGTATCCTTTGTAACAACTCAGATCTATTTTCCTCAAGTATGGTGCACCATCCATACTTACTTTCACATAGATTCCTTGACCCTCATGCTCTGATTCATTCTTCTTTGTCTGAATGTTATTCTTCCTGTAAGATCTAACTGGTGGCCATCCAACAATCTGAGCCCTGCAAAAAGGAAACACTGTCAAGAAACTGTAGTTTTTTTTTTCATCACCTATTCAGATTCAGAGAATTTTTGTGTGTGTTTAACTTACTTTCTAGGAGGGGATGTTTCAGTTTTCCTTGATGATGATTCATTCTCCTTCTCATTATCACTTGATAATGCTCTCTTATTGTTGTTATTACAGCAAGAAATAATGCTCTCTTTTTCTTCACAAACATTGTCTGTTCCTGGTAATCCCAGCCTCAGCTCCGTTTCCTTGAGGTTAACAAACTCATCCATTTCTTCAAGAATTGCGGGAGAAAAAAAAAAAAGAAAAAGCTTTTGTTTATTATCCTTGGAAGAGATGAGAGAAATAGAGAAGCTGATGATGATGAAGATGAAGATGAGAGGCTTCGTGGAAGCTGAGTGTTTTATAGAAGTTAAAGGAGAGAATAAAGATAGATTGATAGAGAATAAACTGTTTTTTGAATTAAGGACAAAGAAAAAAAGCTAAGCTTGTCGGTAGCAGTAACAGCAACTTTGAGGCAAAAGTGTGTCCCATCTTCTTGGGGACATTTGTGGGACACTTTCTTTTTCTCCCATCTGTCCAAAGCCAAAAACAAAATCCTTTTATCATTCTTTCTTGTGATAGACGGTCCAGATCAAATCTTTGAATCCCCACCACATGTGGTATGCCATATGGGCATGTCACCTCTCTCCATCTTCCATAGATAACTTATCATAATAATAAAAATTTAACCAAAAATTTTGGATCTTTAAGCTCATAATCTTTTCTTACCAAAAACAACAACTGAATTGTCTCTTTGCTGACATTCGACTTTAAAATATGAAAATGTAACTTTTTGTTCAATGTTTGGACTTTGGATTATGGGTAGTTAAGATTTGATGAGTTTAATTGACTTGAAATCAAAAGTTTTCACCTTTTTGAGTTTACCAGCTTCAAAAACAGATACTTTGGGTGTTGAAGAGCCAAAACAGAGCCTACGTGACAAAATCTCGTATTGTTCATTACTGGGTTTTGTTAAAGCCCACAACTTTTGTCTCTCTGTCTCTCTAAACTATTAACGATCATGATCACCACACACCCACACACACGTATATATGAATCTGAAATATAACTGAGCATTGCGACAAGACATCTTTCTTCAGGATCAACTAGCTCAAGGCTTAGTTAAATGTAACATCATAATGGGGTCTTGTTTTGGAACCTGAGAGATCTTTAACAGATTCTCGCTGTCTTTGTTCATGTTACAGCGTGTCATTGGTTGTATTCGACTAATCGACTTATATGGAGCTCCTAGTGTAGATGTTAACCTAGTCGAATTTAACCGGATCTAAGTTTTGGCTCGATTTTTGGGTTTTTTCATAGCCGAAGATATACACGCATGGCCTTCGAAATCGAAGTCCTAAGTGGTACTATGGAGAGAGTGGATAAGAAACGTACTCTTAGTTATGTTATATTTCAGGTCAGTCCATGGAAAACTGTCATAGTCTATAGTTTTTTTTTATAGAAAGTCAGGGAAAGTCACTTATAAATTGAAGTTAGTTACTAAAAATGAAATTAAAATGAAAAAGAGTGTAATGTTACATTATATGTGTGAAAATCGTAAAAGAATATTTGTTTTTTTTTAAACATTTTTGTGTATGTACTAATAAGTAACTTCAACAAATAGAAAACACTTTAACAAAATAAATAAAAATTCATCCCAAACATCTATAATCTAGTAGCAGAGGAAAGCTTTGGGAAAGGTGAAACTCCCAAATCCGAGTTCAATCCTTCCTGAAAACAAAAACACATTTATTTGGGAAGTCTGTCAGTTAGGCCTTGGCCCAATTGGTTTATCTGGTAGTCAGAAATACAGACGGTTTGACTACTCCTGATATTAGTAGGAAGGCATTCCAAACTCGGATCAGGCAATGTGGTAACCTAATTCTGGATCTCATGGATCTCATGGCCCGTTCGACCCGAGTCCGCTCGGAGCTCATGATGTCCGTTGAATCGTTGAACCGTTGAACCACGGAAATAGTTCACTCTATAGCATCTAGATGCGTTCCTACTAAAACTGACCGGATCAGCAGATAGGACTTATAAAAAAAAATACAAGAAATTCATAATTAGCGGTGACCGCTACTCATCACGTATTGATTTCTTCTGTACGGTGAGAAACATTCTCTTCTTGGTTCAGTCATAAATTACAAGATTTGACACGAACAGCTCATAAATTTGAATTGAATTAATTGTATTTATACAAAAAAAAAACTTATCGAAAAGAAATTATTATTTGTGAATTATGATCCGCCTTTCATTAAAAAAACATGAGTAAAGATTAAAATGGTAATAAAACATAGACAAACCAATGCTTAGTTACTATAGATATATATTTTGCCCCAAAAAAAAAAAAAAGTTACTATAGATATCTTTTTTTTCCCCTTTTTTACACCATTAGTTTGATGACTAATTGCAAACAAACCGCAACTGATCACCATATAAAGAAGCATTTGATGACTAATATATGGAATATAAAAGTTTTATCCCCCTAAATTTCATTTATAATCCGATCCGTCAGTGAAAAGTAAAATAAAAATAGTATTGTGAGCAAATTAAATGTTTTGTATTCCCATATATTTCTCAGCGTTAAAGAGTTAAAGACTTTTATTAGGCATGAATATCCGCAGGCTTTTCGCTATATAATAACACATGATAATGAAAAAGAATGACTAATGAAATGACCCTGCCAAAGAAGTGAAGATAATGATAATTCGTTCTTAATTGTATTTGCCGACATGATTAATCATAACACATGACACTCAAATATTTATTTGCTTGCCCTACAGAGCAGTAGAAGATCTCGAGCCACCGTCTCAACCGTACACGTGTCACCAATCATAGAAGATGCAGATCCCATCTGATCACAGAATCGCCGGTTGATTTCAAAATCTAAACCGAACGCTAAACCGCGCAAGTAATTAGACTCTGTTGTTGATTTAAATTATTCAAAAATAAATAATTTTACTCACACTTAGACTGGTCTGGTCCAAAGTTTAGAATATTATCTTGATTAAGTTACTTAAATTCTTTCGTAGTAAAATGTTAACACATTTTCTTTTGCAATTGGACCATCTTTTAAAGAAAAAGTAATTGAATGGGCTGGGCCGCTTCAATTTGGAGTTTTATTTTGCTTCGACGGCGTATCTGGACCACTTCAATCTAACTACCACTACTTTTTTTCCATTTTCTTTTTAACTATATAAAAGCCAACTTTTACAATTTTCCTATCCAGATATACTTATATTTTATTTTACTCAAAATTGGGTTCGTAAACCAACCTCGGGTTTCCTCATTAATTTGAGGGATCTGTTTTTTTTTTTTTTAAGTTTACTTTCAAACCTTTTTTTATCAATGTTTGACTCTCTTTAGATATTATAAAATGTAAAAACAAATTTTGCTTGAACATTTGTGATAGTTTTGATAAAGAATATATTTTCAAAGATTATTGGGCAAAATATTGTATGAGTTTAAAATATTTTCCTTGTTAAAATATTTGGAATTATTTGGACAAAGAGAATATCTTTACCGGTCAAATGTAATCAATAAAGTGATCCCCCAAATCTCTTACTCCACTATTTACCTAATTTATGGATTCTGCAAATCGTCTTTGATCTCACCGTTAAAGTTTTGGGGATCAACCAATATCAGATATTTTTAGATCCCAATATATTTGATTACCGTTTCACGATGATTGCAAACGACTATATTATCAGAACAAATCTTAATTAATCTTTTTGAAAAAATAAAGATTGGTTCGTTATATATATAACAAATATATAAATAATATGTGGAGTGTGGAGTGTGGACCATCACAGAAAACGCGGAGATAACGAATTAGAGTTTTTAGAAGAGTTTTTACAATTAACGAATTAGTTTAATTAATCGACTGATCAAAGAAACATTTAGTAAAAGTAGACATTCCAAGCAATGGTACTGTGGCTAGCCCCCACCACGAGGCTATATTGTTAAGAGTTGTGCCAACATATAGAATAATAAATATATCATGAGCCTATAGGGGCGGATTCTCGCATTTTTACTTTTATAAAATATACTTCAAGAAAAGCATCTATTTATTTAAGGGATCATTACAAAAGATTAGCTAGAGATGTGTAAGAACATGAGCAAATTGTCTAAATATGTACATTTTGAAACTATATTCGGAGAATAGTATTGCTAAATGAGTGTTTTTCACATATTTACTTTCGATTAAGATTTATTGAAAAAACTAGATTTACTCAATTAGATTTACCTTTACAAAAATTTACATAAATAAATATTAACAAAAAAAATAAAATAATAATAATGCAACAAACTCACCAGAGAAGTATTTAAAATATATATATATCGTCGGCCGAACATGTCAGAACGGTGAAGAAACAAACTCACCAGAGAAATAAATAATGCAACAAATGATAGCGGAAATGATTGCTTCCATATATATATACTAAGATTTATTTCTTTTATATTATTTTAATTGTACAGAAAAATCAAAAACGAACCATTTTTTGGTGGAGACCAAGGTTCAATACATTTTATGTGTTTAGAAGCTCCAAGCAAAATAATATATATGTAACTTTTACTTAGTAATATACATATCAAAAGATTCAAAACTATGACTAATATACTTTAAAACAAAAATATGACTCGAACATAAATAAAATACTAAAATGGAGAGCTGAAATATAATTTTCTAAGACGTTCTTAAATTCCAGGCAGTTGATTGTTTTAACCCATTCATATATAAGAAAAAGTTAAATCACTATAAGAAAACATGTTGAATTTTAACCAAATTTTTTACCAAGGAAATGATCAAACTTTTTATAAACAAGATTTCGACCAAATTACGATGTACATTTAAAATGATCAGTAATTGGTCAATTTTTTTTTTTCTGACCAATATAGTTAGTTGATAAATAATTGTTTGTAGACTGTAGAGCAAGTGTTGACGTAAAGTAATTTGTTTGAGTCTCACAAGTGTTGTGGCTTTCACATACACAATGTAAACTTATTATTTGGTTTTGTCATTTCAATTGCATGCATGCAGCATGCATGTCATTTGGCTGCATCCCTTAAATGTGAGAAGTATATTCCAACAACTAATTTAAATGAGAAAACTAAAAAAAAAATGTAAGATGGAAAGAAATACACAAATATTGATTTTTGTGTGGCAGAATGTTGAGAGTTGTGGCCTTGTATTGTCCACATGAAAGTACACCTGGTCCTCACACATTCCTACCTTGCAAGTTAATAATTAACATATATATATCTTTGGAAAAAAAAACTCATTAATTTCGACATCCTGCATATGAATATGCAATTAGACCTATATATAAATCAAGTGAAAAAAACATTACCAAATTAAGGTGGTCTCTATCGTGTGACAAAAAAAGTGGTCTCCATATATATTCTTGTGAATATTGATATATGGATTTGGTTGCATCATTGGTTCAATCTCATTAAAGTTTCGCATACAATCCATTTATGTGTGCGGGCGCATTTTTTTGTAATCATGTATTCATGTAGGTTGGACCGAGAATTGATATTATTCACTGGTTTACAATTTCATGTGAATTCCATAGTGATCAGTAGGTATATATTGTT